TGCTACATTTTTTTATTGCATATCTGCCTTCATCATAGAACTGAAAGCTGTTTTTTTTGTTTGGTTGGTTGATTGGTTGGTTGGTTGTTTTTTTTGCAATGCCCTGCCTCTGCTGCCTAGATTGATTTGTGAAAGGAGATGGCTTGGCAATAAAAGGAGGGGAAGATACTTTTCAAACCTGTCATGGGCATTTCTATGTATTCTGTGGTATTTGAATGGTATGTCCTTTCTGACAAAAAGGCTATTGCCTGCTGTGAAATAGATCAATGGGTGATATTGTGCAGTGATTGCTATTTGTTTAAGAGAAATCTCCCTGACTGACCCACTTCCTGTAATGCATAAAAAATAAATGACAGAAGTAATATTTTTGTTCTTGTTTCACTTTCATTCATCTTATTTGATCAGCACTGAACAAAACTGACATCTCATCAAACCCTAAAGTGTATTTCTACACTGGGTTCATCAGAGGTTGGCATTTAAAACACAGACATTGCAGGAACAAATGTATTTGCTAGCTCTGTCCATCGATGTAAACCTGACCTTTATCCCGTAGATTTATTGACACTGTGCTGCTTTGTATCATATTTCATTACTATGTGGAAAACCAGGAAAGTCCTTCCTGTAAAACCACTTTTGATTCTCATCTACAAATTTTTGCATCTACGGTAGATTATCTAAAGACCAAGAAAACCTTAATGTGTCTCATGCTTATTTAAAACAAAGTGATTACCTACACGTTTAAAAATGGCCGTGCATTGCTCAGTTGTACCAGTCCATAAGGATGTTATGCAAGAACAACAACATTGCTGAGGGGCATTTTTCTATGGTCTCTTCTACCTCTCCCCGGACCAAACATACTGCAATTTCTAGGAAAGAAGAATCTAATACTAAAAATGTTTCAATTAGGTTTTATAGGTTCAAAATAATCAGATAAATTTCATGCACAAAACATGATCTATACTCAAATACCACGCTGCTAAAAGAATAATGGATGTGCCTTGCTGTTACGCAGTATGCTTCTACTTTGTTCCTACAGTCACCTAGGAGATATGTAAGCTCTTCCATACACAGGATATTCTCAAGCAACATCTGATTGATAAATAGCCATTTTAACTATAGATAACAGCTCTGTGACTAAATATTTTGTTCTGTGTGCGGAAATTTTAATGAGAACAAATAAAAATTAACAAAGCTAAATCTGATCATGCTGAAACAACACATTTTCCTAACTAATTGGCTAAATAATGGTTTGCATTTCTGCAGTATGTTCTCTTCCTAAATCCCCTGGAAGCTTTCCAACAAGCCAGAACACAGAAGCACCATGCTGGTGATCCCTATGTGAATCACATCTGTGTTGTCGTTTTCAGCCTCCTAGGCTTGAACATATTGAAACAGTCAATGCTTGGCTGTAAAGCAAATAGGCTGTTTTCCCTAAAAAAGAAAAATCTATTACTTGTGCTAGATTCTCAAATCCTAATATTTACTCTTGTCTGAATGATGGGTAATTGAGCACTAACATAAACTATCTACACATTTCCTTCAAAATGATTGTTTCTCTTCTTAAGAAGAATTGGAAAGCAAATCATTCTTTCATTCTCGTATTAATTGAGGATGAAAGATTGGAGCTAAGTCCTTGAAGTCAGGGGAAAGACATAGGGCAGGTGGCAGGAAAGAGGAGGAGGAGCATTTCCACTTGTCTGCTTAATCTCTGAATCTGCACTGACATCAGTATCTGAGGTAGCTGTCTGAGGGGAGATCTCTATGCCATTGGAAATAAATAAGCATTTCCAGAGGACAGGCCATCTGAGATATCTTTAACATCTTCCTTTGGGATCTGACAAACTGATGCACTCCAAATGAGCTTCAGGTGAAGAATCTCACTGGGGCTTTGAATTTCCTGTTATATGAATTTTTGGGATTTAAAACAAAGTTTTTCAAGGGGAAATTTTACAAAATAACAGAAGCAGGAAAGAAGCAGATTTATGACAGAAAGATGTAAATTCCTCAGTTACTACGTTCCTCTAAAACATGAAGATAATTTTCAGCATATATAATTCAGAGTTACTGATTTTATTCCCCTTCATTAATGTTGCCATGCTTTTTGTTTGGCAAATACTATGTGAAGTAAGAATCACCTTCAGAATTAATAACATTTAACTGATTTAATGGAAAACAAACATAAAGGACAACTCTAGCAGTTCTTACAGAGCCCCCCATCTAGTAGGAGCAAAATGGAAGTGCATCCAGTTTTATGAAACCATACTTATCGGCTTGAGATCGTCAGCTTTAAACTGTTCTTTGATATCTAAATGTATTGGTTATGTCCCTTGAGATTTTTTTTAATTTTTTAATCCTAAAAGGAGAATTTTATTTTGCCTCTAAATACTGCTATGCTTTGGAAAATTCAGAACAGGCTTTCAAAACATTCCAATAGTTATGAAAACATAAAATTCACTTGGAACATTTTTATTCTTTTCAGGATTGCTGTGGATCTGTCATCTACAGTCTCACTTTCCTCATTTGCAAGAACATGAAGACAACAGATAACACGCATTCTAAAATATTCTGGCTATTGGTTATTTATATATCACTTCATTTTTTTCATCATAAAATGCTTATCGAGATAAATGTTTATTACTATTGTTATCCTAGCAGTAGTGAATGAAGTTCATTTAAAATTAAGACTTCCATGATACTTCATTAAAATTGAAGTACAGTACCTTACTGAAGGCAGTGATTCCTGGATTATACTCTCTGTAACCAATTAGACTGTCTCATCTACAGAATAACATCTTAAGTGATGAAGAAAGTCAGTGTAGAGGAGATAAATTAGATGACCTGACTACTCAGCTCCAGACTGGTTTGAATCTTCCTTTTGGCCTTTATAGACTAGCAAGGAAGTGCTGGAAGTGCTGCCCAGAAAATGTGATTGCCGCCAAAAAGATACAGATGAGGAGGAGATGGGAATAAGGAAGTTGACTGCTTTAGTTGATCAATGAAAGTGGAAAAACAGATGCCTTGTTTCATAGTTCAGATATCCCATCGGGGAAAAATATAGAGACATAATATGCACATAAAAGAAGCACGATTTGCAAAAATATTTCTCCGCCATCTCTACTTACAAATAGAAGATCTTTGAGCCCTTTGGCTTAATTTGATGACTGTCATTCAAATTTTACTGACTCCCAAATTCTATGAGAAACTCCAAGACCAATTTGAATGCAAAATTCTTATAAAGGCTTAGCCAATCGGGCGTATATATGGCAATGGTCTTTTAAAATAAAGACTATTAAACAGTGAAATGAGTTCAAATGAAAACAGTGTTGTCAGTTGAGACTGCTGGAGCATCCCTGAAATTGATATTTTCCTTATCTTATATGAATACAGTGTCTTGACACTACTATCCCTGTGTCTACTGCAGAAAACTCAGTAAGTCTATAGAAGCAGTTCACATTAGTTTCTTCAACCATCTGGAATAGTACGAACAACTTCTATTCAATCTAGTGATAAAGTTCTTTGCCTGTTCTAATCTTTTCTACTAAATGTACATCTTAAAATATTTTGTAAGTACAAATTCACATTATTTAGGCAAGAGAATCAGACTGGTTTAGTATTAGAGTATCAAGTACTCCAGGCTGTTTTTAAAAACTATTTTTCAAGCGTATCAGAAAGAAAAAGACACTGTATCTTGTGTCTTTTCTGCTCAGGCCTGTATGGATTTTTATAACTATAAGAGAGGGTTTTCAACTACTTGCTTGCACAGTCTAAACACACAGCTGGCAAATAGCAGTGATTGAATCTCCAGCTGCTTTTGAATAATCAAAAAACAGGGACTATCGTTACACTAGGTAAAAACTATCTGAAATGATATTTAGTTTTTGCTGTGTTCATAGTACTTCAGCTGTGGTTTATAGTAGCAACTATGAAAACCATTAACAATCACCAGTAATTGTATCAAGACAAACACTGTCAGCATTGGAAAAATATGTTATTTGCAGATCACCCTGGACACAAACTGGTTTTTTTACTGCCAGGATGACAACATTTTCTTCATCAGCCACATATACTCTACTGAAGACAGAACTGGATTCGGCAACAGTAATGTTAAAACATTTTCATACGTCAGCTTTATCTCAAGTATTTAAGACTATTCTATCTGGTTGTCTGCTATCTTGCTCTTTGGGACATAACACATTCAAGGTATACTCTATGAAAAGCTTAGCAATGAGTCCTTGCTTTTGGATCAAGAGTCAAACATTTGCCGATGCTGTTTTATATCCTGGCTCAGTTAACAGGGAAGGGTTGGGAGAAGCAGTTTTTATGCACTTCTGACAAATTGCTTGACTAAGCACACTTTTTGTACTGTCTGCAGATGTTTATCAGATTCATAGATTCATGGAATTTGACAGAGATTACACTGACATCTCCATATATATACTTGATATATGCAAATACAATTAATTTGCTATAAGCCATGTCAGGGCAGTAATTACTAAATTGCGTAATGTTTCCAGATATAATTCCACTGATATTTACCTGAGTCCTTCAGATTACATTTTTTCTAAATGTTCTGCACCATTGTCCTTTTTTTCTTAAAAAGGCAAAACTTCAAAGGTTTCCTTAACTCTTTCTTATGATTACAAGAGTTATGATGTTATAATCAGAGTAATAGTATAGAATTAGTATATAGTAATAATGTAAAAGAGGAAACAGGTCCTGTTGAAGTAATGGCATAACTTCTGTTTACTGGATCTTGGAGAAATATGTGCTGATAGCACTGATGCATCTCTTTTATGAAGCTAGGTTTATAGTCAAGCAGTTTTTTGCTGTCTTGTTCACGCTTTAGCTGAATAATTCCTTAGGTGGAGATGTTCACCATGAAGCATACATACATACACAAGCAGACAATAGCACCACAGAGTGTCAAAGATAAAAGCAACCTTTTTAAGCACAAGAATGTTTGCAATCTAATATGTCTGTGATAAGTTTTGTTCACTTACCTTGACACAGCCAAATTTTCTTTTGTGGAAAACCTGCAGTTCCAAGACACAGAACAATACTGAGAGCTAGAAAGTAGAACAAAAAAAAAGAAGAATCACTGATGGTAGGAAAGAATCATAATCTCAACAAAGGATTGTATGTGTACAGTAAAAAACTGCAGCACTTCTCATAGAAAACTGTTTCAGTATGCTATTAGAAAATAAGATAGATCTGGTCCCCCAGTTGACACTGCATTAAGCAGAAAGAAGTAAACAGTTCAGAGGGTGGTTTGCCTTCAAAGCAGAACAAATTTTGGATGATTCAAAGTCCCGGACTGATCCAACTGTTGTAACACAGGTCAACTGAAAAGATTTAATCACTAAAAAAAAAATCCACTTAAGCTCAAAAGTTAAATATACATATGCAAACTTTATTCCTCTTATATTTTGAAAATATATTGTAAATTGGTTTACTAAGACACATACAGCTGTTAAAACTGCTGTATCTCCTGCCTCTTCTACTACTGAAGCAATTTTTTCTTTCCCTGTATCTGAGGGATCAATGATAAGCATCCTTAAGTGTCTGAAGGACATAAATACCCAGAATACGAAAAAACTGTTTTATGTGGCCCAAGGGGGAGGAAAAATGGAATGAAACTGAGCAAAGGCAGAACTTGGAAAGAAAATGCTAATGAATAGATGTGTCTGCCCATTGAATAATCTTCTAAAGGAGTTCCTTGAAATTCTGTAATATAGAGTATTTGAAAATGCAAAAAAAAAAAAAAAAAAAAAAAAAAAATTGCTGGAAAAAAAAAAAAACAACTTTGATATGGACACATAAAGAAATGAGTGAGCAAATCTTGCTTCATGATAACTATTTTTTTCTGTGAATTCTTCTTCCAATTTCAGGGTAACAATGGATTTTTATGTATTTAATTGCTGTATTGTTTTCCTACCACTTCCATCCTCTGTTCACTTTCTTTCTGACATTTTTCACTTTACTGGAACGCACCAGATTTAGTTTTTGAGAGGAAAAGTTAAAATGTATTTGTACCCAAACTCAAGCACAGCCTGTCTGGAATTGATTCAGGGCAAGAGATCAGGATCAGAGATCATGAAAAGCTTGTAAGTAATATTTAATTATTATTTATTTCACCAAGTATCCCATTCACAGCAAATTATTATTTTTTTTTCCCCCTCCATTGTTAGACATTGTCCCAAGGAAAGGAGTTCATGAATGACACTTCTAGCAAAGGTAAGAGATGTTTCTGAGTGGAAAAAGAAGGCAGCTGCTCATCTGGAATTCTCTGTTTTTTCCTCCAGAAAACCTACTCTTCTCTTCTCCTGATGCTCATACACAGAAATTACTGATGTTGTATTAAAATGCTGTAAAAGATCTCAAAAATATCACTCCCTGTAAACAGCAAGTAATATCCCAATAAATAAAAAGCTTGGCACTATTTTGCACAAAAGGAACTCTGTAGTTACAACCAATACTATCGATAAACTACATCATAGTCAGAAAGAGAGAAAATGAATGTCAATATAGTAATAATAAACTATAATTCAAAGTAAAGAGTTCCAGAAGAAAACATAAGGTTGGAGAACCCATTCTTGCGGTCGTGAGTTTCTTCTTTTCCTTAGCCAATAAAAAAACTATTTATCACATTTTAGTCAGATCATCTGAGTTCTTCATTTTGGGATACATACCCTTGTTTATATTTATATGAGTTACTTGGATATACCCAAGCTGTGTTTTACCATTTTGTAAGTTTAATTTCCAGTGACCTTTTCTAAAAATACACATAAATTATGCAAATATATGCAGATTTTTGTCCAAAAGATGAAATGAAAAGCTCATTAAAAGGGAAAGACCTGCATGACCAGATTTTAGTCTTACATGAAGGTGCATTCATACCATAAACTTAAAATTACTGATTTTAAACTGCATAGCCACATGTGTAAAAGGCATATTTCTGTATGGAAATGCTATGCACAAATATAGAAGTAGTATTCAGGCACTTCAGCTTTAATAGATCAGAGCGCTTTTTTAAATTGTACATTAAAGGACATAATGCCCAAATAGTTATGTAAAACCCAAAGGATTCACAGCCAAGCTGAACAGAAACAATTCACTAAGCTGATAGTAAAATCTAACATGGAACTGAAGTTTTATCCAATATGTAGTTTGGAAGATAAAATTATCATATTTATTGAAATTGTAAAATATAGCAAGTTTGTGTTATTGTCCATGTTTTCACATCTGAATTGAATGATTCTTTCCCAAGCAAGTGCAAAGTATACAGAAAAATTTCAGTCTGGAATCTTTCTGTGCAATGGTTAATTACTAAAACAGTGAAATATACATGAAAATGTTTGGTTTTGTTTTTCAATATAAAAAGCGGAAATATTATGGATCAAATATAAACAGTAGAACGAGGAAGTACAGGAATAGCAAAAGCACAGAAAGTTTCAATGACTTATTTACTCAAGAGCACATAGTAGGTCAGCCTCAAAGAAAACAAAATGCGTGCAAGCAGTTTTACAACTATTTCTCTGCATTACAAACCAGCTGTATATATACAATAATTTGAATGCAAAAGCTAAGGATCACAACAGTATTTCACATTTCCCGGGGATGCATTAACTTTGGTTCAGACCTTTCCAACACTGTTATTCTGCTTCTGTTCGGGAAAGATACTCAAAAGTATCTCCCAACTGCTCTGAGTTGGCAAACAGCTCTGTAGCTACGCAGAGACAGACGTTAAAAACAGTTGTGATATGGAGGGAGAAATCTGGAGGATGGCTGTACTTGGAAGAACAAGTTAATGTGCTCTGGGGACTAGCTTTAATCACAGCAAGAAAGATAACGTCCACTCAAGTGTGATGAAGCATTCAGCATTTCCCCTACAACAGACAACAGACTGGAGACTGTGTGAAAGGCAGCAGCTGTCCTGCTTGCAGCATTACTACACAAGGGCCAGATTCTCACTGACCAGCTCAGAAGAAATCGGTGCTGACCCAAGACAGCACAGCAAAAATTATTCATGATTGCTGTCCAGCAAAGAGAAGAGTCCAATATATCAGCAAAAATGATGAGAAAGAAAAAGCTGACAAATGAAAAAAGAAAACACTAAACATAGGGACTTTCAATCTATTTAACTAATTCAAGGAAAGGAGTGATTTCTCAATGAAAAAGTGAAAAGCAGTCATAATTGTAGAGCTATTGCTCTGGCCCTTCAAAAATAAACTAAACTGTACAAAGACCATTTCATCAGTACTTTAGGAGTTGATGTAGACAAGTTTCTCCTGCTGAAGGACTAAATTTAATGACTAGTATAAGAAAAACTCCTGTAAAATAACACGTTGTATGTTACCACACCAGAACAGGTAATTGTCTGCTATCATCATCTTTGATTAGAAATCAAGAAGGAAAAACAGCTTTTTAGTGTGCAGTGATAAAGATTAAAACAGCAACAAGCTTTAAGCAACTATAAAGGAGTCAAAGTCCAATGTATTTACCAGTTTCTAACAGTTTAACCCAAACAGCGCAGAGCAATAACAGTAGGAAAACAAACTTCTAAGTGCTGGATTACATAAACAGATATTAGGCTACCCAAATTCCTACAATCTTATCCAAGTTTTATTAATACTGTAATACAGGTAAGTAGGTGCTGGAGTTTGAAGTAGCTAACACAAAAATCAAAACTACTGATGTCTAGAACAGGAGCTCTCTAATGTTAGACTCATTAAAAATAAATAAATAAAGTGAATAAAATTATCACAATCCAATCTCTGAAGTCCCCTGACAAACCTAGAATTGAATGGATACAATTCATTAAAATCTAATTACCAAGAAATCAATAGTGCAATTTAGCCCAAACCAAAACTCATTGTAATGCAATGAACATTTGAAAACCCAGGTCATTATAAACAGGGTTTAAGTGACATTGTATATTACATCGTAGAGTGTCTCTGTACAGCAATTAGCACAGGCTGCCTGACTTTACTCAAAAAGGATATTACTGCATGCAGTCTTAGTAGTAGTGCATCTGTAAACACCCACTCTCAAAGATGCAACATAAAAAGAAACAACTTTGCTAACAATAGTCCAATTAAATCCAATTCAAAAGAAAAATCAACTACCCACAATCCCAAATACACACCTCTCAAAATTCACTTTTGTTATGAGTGTCTGACGAACTAAACAGGCACACTTTTCTTTTAGCTATATATATGTAAATGCACTGACACCTCTGACAATGAGTGAAAAAAAAAGTACAGTCTGGCCTACAATCACAATTTTCAGAATTGATAAAATCTTAATTAAACACAATGGAAGAGTAACTGAAGATTATTTTTCTACTACAGATGCCTATAGAAGTCTCTGAAATCATATACTCTGGCTTCTCATTATCCAATAATGCTTGGGTATCATTTTAATCCATATGACCTTCCCTCAAAGTAAAAGAACTGATGCATCATTTGAAGCCATGCAATAAATTGTATACATTGTCTTACTCCTCAATATTTTGAGCAGACAGGTGTATCCTCTGGTCAGTCAACTTTACTTCAATTAATGATGACCATTCCCCATTGAAGCTTCATGTGGATCTAAGTAGAACTACATGGAACTAAGGCAGCTCCATCTCAGCCATGTCATTCTCCTACACTACTGAGTGGAATGCCTATTTTTATTTTCTGAGCCAGAGGTATAAACATAAGATTCACAATAGGTGAGTCCTTCAAGTATTGGGAATCTGCTCTGCCAGTGTACTTCAGGGGTGCAAGTAATAATGTGAGCTGGTTTAGGAATCAGCATGCTGTCCACCATCTAATTCTGTAGGAGAAGAGTAAATTCCCAGAATTTAACGAGTGGAAAATCTGTGTAATTAAAAAAAAATAAATAAATGAAGGCATTTGTATAGAGGGCATTACAAGTGTATGAATCCTGAAAAATGAAAACAAAACTGAGATTAGCTTACACATAAAAATGAAAAGAAGAATGGCCTAGGGTGTTAACGAAGAACTCAGGAGACATGGATTCAGTTTCAAAATGTTTCATGACTCAGATGCTGCAGTACACA